TGCAGTAACTTAATGCCATCTATGAAAATCGGGCACGAACTTATGCAATCATCCAATATCATTAAAAATGTTTAAATGAAAAAGAATAAATAGCGCGCGAAGCGCGCGCTTTGAAGTGTATTGGTAATGGACATGGATGGCGCGCGCGTAGCGCGCGCTGCGTGCTAGTCCCTATATAAAAAAGGCATGTAAAGTCGATACTCGCATATATCGAAGTTTATTGTTGTTGCTTTTTCGCGATGTTGATTGGCTGTTTCGCTTGTGCTTGCTTCATTCGTGTTATTTGCAATTGTCAAATCATGAGAATTTTGACAGTTTGACAATTCGTGAAAGAAAAAGTTAAAGTTAGGAAAGAAAAATTAAAGAAATTGGAAAATGTCTATAAATAAAAGCGCGCGCGCAGCGCGCATCTATGTTGTTCTAGTTATAAAAAATGTATATTATGAAGAGCAAATTAAGCTGGGTATCGATTCTATAATTTAAGTAAGAGTGAAAATTGCAAAAATGAGCAAATTTACTAGGTTTGGACCAATGAAATTATAAATTTTTTAGTAAATTCGCTCATTTTTGTAATTTTCACCTTCACTTGAATTACAGAATCGATACCATGATGTTTTTCGTGTATCGTAAGTTTAATTACTATATAGGTCGCTGGTTGAGAGCTTGGTGGTTATTAATTTTTTTTAAATTTTAGGTCGCTTGCTGGCAGCTTGGTGGTCTCTCGCTCGCACGTAGCATAGCGAAAGAGAACGCTATGTTACGTACGAGCGAGAGAGAACGCAAGGGGCACAAAAGAGAGTACGTCCTTTTCTACAAGCATCTTTACTCCCATTCCTTAAATAAAGGCAAACGCTCGGGCCGGTATTCATAGTCAGTTCTTATATTTAAGCCGTTGTTACGTCTCGATAATGCGCTTTTCTTACTATACCTCAGTTAGTGAGGAAAGTATAGCTCTCTATTTTTATAGGGCAACCTGCTTCCACCGGCTATACCCCAGGGACGCCGAGAGCTAGGACTGATCTGGTGGATTCTAGGGGAATGACGTTAGGCACGGAACTAACCTTTTACTAGAGTGATTTTACTGGGTGTTAGATATAGGAATATACGCATGCGCAATTAGATATATTCAATTTTGAGGGTTTTCAGGGTTTTCAAGCAGGGCAATTAATTGATCTATATCCAAATTACCGTCTAGAAAATCGGTAATAAGTCTAACGATTAAAGTTAAGATTTGCTTGCGCATGCGACTTACTATGGCTTGAACTTGCTCATCAGTATATAAAGGTTTCATTATTCGAAAATTAATGGAACATCTTGCATTGCTGATTAATTATGAATCTAAATATCTAGCGTATTCATCTATTTTTAAGTGTTCTTCAAGCAATTGGTCTTTTAACTGAGAAATCAGGTCCCGGGGAGTTGTTTGATTTTAGTCGCGACAACTTTCTTTAGAATGATTTATATTTTGATACAATTCGTTTACTAATATGAATTCCGGTGTATAAGTGAAAAGACCGGTAGGATCGCTTACGCAAGGAGCGTTAGTAATTGAATTGCTTTCAAGAGGTTCCGTTGATGTTTTTCCTTGAGAATCTTCTTGACTTTCTTTATGAGAATATTTTAACTGATTTATAGTATCTGGAGACAAAGAGACCTTTTCACAAGATATTACTCGAGGTTTATTTTTACTATGTAATCGGTTAAGCCGAGACAACTCGGAGGTAAAGCGTGCAGCACGCGTTTTTACACCGGCTCTA